TTCCAATCCCAGCGGGCAGCCTTGTGGGGGTTTGAACAGCCGGTTCCACTTTCTTAATTCTTCGATAAGTCAGGGCCAAGCCAGCTCCAATCAGCCAGAACCCTGTTATCATGGTTCTGAATAGGTAGATATCTTCAGCATCAGGCTCACCCGAGCCCAGACTTCTCGTTGAGAAAGGGGTGTCAATTGCATTTAGAGACCAGTTGATCAAATCCATAATTACTCTTTTAGGTTTTAGAAAACAGACTGAGAGAGAATGTTCCAGGGAAAAGTAATACAAAAAACACGAGACTAGACAAGGACATAAGAGGCTAAGCAGGGAAGCTAAGGGAGAGGAGAAAAGTGTGACAAGTCAAGAGCAAGAGCAGAAGGACATCAACAATTATCAACATGGAGTTACAATAGAAATTACTTGGAAAAACAATTATCTGACACTGCTTCTCAGATATTATTGTCATTACATGTTTTCTGTGACAACCCCCCCCTTACAGTTTTAGATTTTAGCAGTGCATTTTATCTCTCACATTTTCTGAATATGGTGTGTAAAACACTGAGTATGCCTTTAAATAAAAATTGCAGTTTAGCTACAATTAACTGTTAAGCTGTTAAGAGATGTGTGTAGTGTGTTTTAATGTCACTTTCTGATAAGGGTTTTGTCTTATTTTATTATGCTGCATCAGCCATGACTGGGTGCTGCACTAGTAAGATGTAACCATCTCTCTAAAATGACCTTGGCTCATCATGTCAACAGCTCAATTGATAGTAAAAAAGAACTATAAGTGTGAAACTCTGGAGTGGCAAAGTATGCGCACAATTTCAAATTTGTGTTGAAATTTCAAGATTTCAATGTGTCTTACACATTACTCAAGTACACTACCGGTCAAGGTTTTTATAACACCTCAATTTTTCCAATTCCAATCGAAAATTATGCAGTTTAAAGTCTCATTGCACTCTGAAATGAAAGGAGTTGGAGTTAAAAAAAAAAAAAGTAATCATGGAATCAATTTATAGACCAAATTTATTCTAAACCTTTGACCTAACAAAGTAGCCGCCTTTGGCAGATATAACAGTTGAACAATTGGACTTATGTTTTGGGTCATTGTCTTGCTGTAGAATGAACCCCTGACCAACTAGGCGCATACCAGAGGGTATTGCATGAATGCTGTGGTAGCTATTTTGGTTCAGGGAGCCTCTCACTCTGTACAAGTCACCGACCCTGGATCCAGCAAAACAGCCCCAGACCATCACACTTCCTCCTCCATGTTTGACAGTTGATGCCACACACATCCTTTCGCCTACTCGACGGCGCACAAAGATCCTGCGTGATGAACCGAAGATTTAAAATTTTGATTCAATTTTATTAGGAA